CGCCTTTCCTGGAGCCTCACCGGCCTCGACCCGGGCTGCAGCAGGACTTGCAAGAACGACAACTGCTGCGGTGTGGTCATCTACGAAGGCGGGAATTGGACAGACCAGCAGTCGGCAGTCAACTCTGTCGCTGTTCTTGTGGCCGCTGCGAACAGCAGCTGCTTCTATATTCGTAGATGGTCCTAGATAGATAGATTCTGATTCTGACAGATTCTAGATCGCCACAACTATCATGAACAGTTGTCACAGTCACTGCGATTGTGACCATACTAGCATGAAGCATGTTTACAAGTTTTGCCCATGCCGGTGATGCCAGCACGAAGACGAGGAAAGGGCACGACAGCATGTAGCCGTCAAACCAGCAAGCATATAATGTATATTATGTATTTATGTTTATGTATATGATCTCCTGTAGCCAGATTCTGCCGCGACACTCCATCCGAGTCCTGTTGAAACTTGGCGCAGTGCGCTTATCCCTGCGGAGGCACGAGCTGCGAGGAGCCTGCAGGCTCTCCCCTTTGGGATAGCGGGGTGTCGGTGAGGTACACTTCCAGCCCATCGAATGTGCTGTCCAAGGAAGTGAAGACTGGGCTCGGAAACGACGACGTGCTGGGCCGCACTGTGGTGATCCATGACAAGAAGGGCAGAAAAATTGCTTGTGGCATCATCGAGCCGTCCGACACCACGGTCTTCGAGAAGTACCCCAAATATGGTGGTGACCTCCCATTGACATCCGGTGGTGTCCAGGCGCTCATTCTCTTTGCTTGATGTTTGTGCTTTCTGCAGGTGCATGTAGCCGCGACAATTATCAGGCTTCAGAGTGTCCTTTGAAGCAAGCGTGAAGCATCGAGCAATCTTTCAACGGTCTAAAGCAAGCTGCATGTCATTTGTGTTTGAAAGGTCGAGTCGGATGATGGAACCCAGACGATCAGCTGGCTGTTCACGCAAGGCCTCGACCCCCGGTGCGACAAGACCACATGCACTGCAGCTAACTGCTGTGGCATTCACATCCACGAGGGCACCACCTGCGCGAATGCTGCCTCCGTCGGTGGTCACTACTGGAACAAGGACCTCTACCCGGAAGACCCCTGGATGGATGTCCGCTACGTGATCGAACCATCCATGCCGTCGGCAGTGAACGACCTGAGCGTCAAAACGGGCTACAATGCCGCAGACATCGACGGCCGGGCGGTGGTGGTCCACGACTACGACGGTGTTCGCATTGGTTGCGCCATCATCGAGCTGCCGGAGGAGGAGCCAGAGCCCGTGGACGGTGATGATTTGTACGTCTTCGACTTGAGCCCCTACGTCGGTTCCTCCTCGCCTTACCAGCCACAGGGAGTGATCGAGGTGAAGTCCACGGACGACAGCAAGACGGTGCTGTCTTGGAGCTTGACTGGCCTCGACCCCGGTTGCAGCAGCAAGTGCACCTCAACCAACTGCTGTGGTATCCACATTCACGAAGGCCGGCGAAGCCGTTCTTTGGGGTTCTGTCCTCACCAAGTTCCTAGGACTAGGTGTGACTAGCTCTGATGCCCCGGCCATCCCTGGCCAAGCAATGATATACTCAACCCCAGATGCGAAGCTGCAGTAGCCTCGCTCATCACTCTTGACCTTTGGCCTTCTACATGTTCGTGACATGTTTCCTTGACAGGAAACGTTTTGCTAGCACTTGGTCGGAAGCAGCAGGGCTCGGACACATGTTAAAGTTGATTCTTGCTTCTCGGAGCCTTGCAGGCATGAGCTGCGCAGAAA